TTCTTTACGTCATTTGATTGTATTATCTTTCCAATGAGATGATACCGCCTTAACACATGTTTTGATCATCGTTGAGACCTTAGTTCCTTCGCTTGCACGATGGCTCCATTGTTATCGCAATGCAGAAGCGTGTACTAAAAAATGTAAGGAACTACTCCAAGTTCATTAATGAACTTCTTGATCCAGACCACAACTTTTCTTGCTTTCTAAAGCAATGATGTATAAGACTTCTATTATTGAATCAATGGTTATTTTCGATTTGGAACTTTACCAACACATCGTTTAAGAGTAAACCAATATCCTAATTGAGATATGATATCATTCTAGTATGGCTAGAAGCTAGCATCAGTGTATCCATGAACTCTCAGTTCATTTTCTTCATATAAAATCTTCTCGAGATTTTATCTATATAGATTGGGATGAGTTAAGTAATCTTTTAGATCTATCTCTATAGATCAACTTGCTTCTCCTATATCTATCACGGAGAAATATTTGACAACCATAATTTCAACAATTGAAATATAAGGACGTCATTTCCTATAATATGTCTTATACATATAATATTAGGAATGAGACAATGCTCCCACTATCTTCTTGTAAACGCATAATTCGTCTTCATTTTTTATAAAATCAAACATTTTGACTTTCACACCAAATTAAAGATTTCAACTCCAATAGGTTTGTTTCAATCCATATTGACCTTTTTTTGTAAACTCATTTACAACCTATGGGTTCTAATCATTAGGTAGGTCGACCAAGGTCCAAACCTTGGTTACATACATCAAGTCCATCTTGAATTTTCACGGCATCTTACCATCTCTTTAAGTCAATACTTGACTTTGCTTACGTGTAATTAGTAATACTTGATTAGTAATCATGGATTCGTACCTTCTAGGATGTCGAATGATCCTACAAGATTTACACGGAGGTGACGTGTTCTCAAAAATTTCTACTTCCTGATTAAGAGTATGTCCCTTAGCCGGTGTGGAATCATACTGAGGTTCATCTATTTGGTCAACAATATCTGTGGATTCATGAACTTTTTCAAGATTTATTCTGCTCCCACTGCCCTCTCCTAGAATAATCACTTTCTCTAGGAGTATGGTGCACTAGAGTAAGATAACTACATCAGGGTATTTTCTGATGGCATCAACATAATCATTCTCATTTACCAAATTCTTAAAAATATGACATTTCTTGTAACTAATATGCTTCTCAAAAAAATTGGGAATCATAAAAAAATTCATATTAAATAAACATGATTACAATCTTGCAAATTAGAAATCTTATGTTTGGAAAAGTAAGTTCTCCACTCACAGATATAGGTTGGACTAACGGGGCCGATATGCCGTTCCCACGTCCAAATCCCCTCCTGTAATGATCACACTCCAACCACTTCAATTCCATCTATATTGATTTACAAGGGATTTCTCAATAATAACCATACTCAACATAAAAAAAAATGAAACATATATATCACTAAGTGCGCAATAGGATGATACTTAATATTTCCATCTCATATGGCTAACTTAAACATACATTTACATAATTTCTGAATCACTCTACTTTCATAACTGTTAACACTAACTTTTCCCAACTGCCCCGGCGAGATTTAAACATATTTTCACGTTGATAATCATCAACCTTATCCGATTCAGTGCGCTTCACATAAGCGTCACTGCCCAAACTTTCATATGAGATAAGTTGGGTATATCCATAACTCGTATGGAATTTTGTCAACCGATTTAGATGGGACACGATTTGGTGTGTAACACGTGGCAATCAGTGCATGACTTCAAAACGATTCTGAAATGTTTGCATGGCTTGTTTTTAATTTCACTATATCTAATAGTGTACGATTCCTTAATCCAAACATACCATTATGTTGCAATTTATTGGAGGAATCCACTGCGTGAGAATCTCATTCTCTTTTAAATAATCTAAAATTCTACCTCTTAGATATTCTCCATATCGATCATATTTTAGTGTGAGAATATATTTACCTATTTGTTTCTCTACTTCTAACTTGAATCCCTTGAACATTTCAAAAGTTTCATGCTTGAATTTCATCAAATATACATGACCATTTCCGAAACGACCGTTAATAAATGAGGTAAAATAAGAGAAACTTCATCTAGCATTAATTGATATGGGTCCACATACATCACTATATATTAGGGCTAGTAATTTTGCAGATATTTCTTCTTTTCAAGTAAAAGGAGATTTAATCACTATGCCTAATGGGCATAATTTGCATTTGTCAAATGATTGACCCAAATATACATCTTCATGTAAGTTTGAAATTGTATTATCATTTATGTGACCAAATCTGCAATGTCAGACATAGGTGTTATTCAGATTATCATTTTTATGCCTTTCAGCTTCTATGCTCATTATAGAGTACTCAATATTTAGAATATAAATGTCATTTTGTAATTTACCATCACCATTAAGATCTTATCAAGATAAAAAGGAACAATAATTGTCCTTAACATTAAAATAATTCATGTCAAAACATGAAATTTACTTAATGCTATTGGTAATGGTGAGAAAAAAATAACATTTCTCCAATTCTAATACTAAGCCTAAAGGCAATGAGAAGAAATATGCTCCTATAAGCAATGCAACAACCTTTGTTCATTTTCAACGTGTAGATCAATTTCTCCATTCTGCAGTGATTTACTTTTATTTAGTTTCAACATATTTATACAAATATGAGATTCATATCTAGTATTTAATACCCATGAAACTAATGAAGTAAATATAAGCCTTGCAATTTTCTTTCCAATGACTTATCATTCCAAAATGATAATAAGGGTCATTAGATTTTGTATTGTCCTTATTCACTTTAACTGTCTTAGCCATCTTGGTTGCTTTTCTAAAGCATCCTTTAGACTTCCTTAGGGGAATCTATGACTAAGATTTGCCCACTACAAACACAGATGTTGGGTTTAACAGTTTTAAGCATGTTCAGCAACTCAATGAGCGTGCATTCGAGTTTATTTATGTTAAATTCATAATTAGTTATGAATAACTCTTTGGCAGAGATTGTAGAACTAAGTCTATACTTAGTTCATTGTTCATGACTGAACGCAATTGAGACAACTTCTCAAAGTAAGGAGGCGATAGGGTGTGAAGATTATCAAATAATTGACCGAAGATTACCAAGAAGCTATCAAATACCCTGAATGGTGTGAAGCAATGAGGACATAAATTAAAGCTCTTGAGTCAAATGACACATGGGTGATAGTTGATCTGCCACCTGATAAGGAAGCGATAGGGTGTAAATGGGTATATAAAATCAAGTTTAAGGCAGATGGAAGCATTGAAAGATACAAGGCCAGGTTGGTTGCAAAGGGGTATACATAACAAGAGGGTTTGGATTACCATGAAACCTTTACCTCTGTGGCAAAGATGGTCACCATTCGAAGTTTATTAGCTCTTGTGGCCATAAAAGGGTGGTTCTTATATCAATTGGACGTTAATAATGCGTTCTTACATGGTGATTTAAATGAGGTTATGTATATGCAATTGCCCTTGGATATGGCACTAATGACAAATTAAAAGTGTGCAAACTGCATAAAAGTTTATACGGCTTGAAGCAAGCTTCAAACCAGTGGTATGCCAAGTTATCTGCCTTTATCACTCAACATGGTTTCATCCAATCGAAGGCAGATTATAGCTTATTTACTAAGGTCACACATAGTTCTTTTACAGCAATCCTGGTATATGTTGATGATGTTATCCCAGTAGGGAACTGTATGGATAGTATCAATGAGCTTAAAGCTGCACTTGATGCAAAATCTAAAATCAAAGACTTGGAAAAATTGAATTATTTTCTAGGAATCGAAGTAGCAAGGACAGAGCAAGGGATACATATATGTCGAAGAAAATATACCTCGAACATTTCGGGAGATTCAAGCACCATAGGGTTAGCACCTTTCAAGATACCCCTTGGTAAGAATATCAAGTTGAGAAAAGATGAGAGTGATCCACTTGCTGATCCCTCTATCTATATGTGGTTAATAGGGCGACTGTTATACCTAACTATAACAAGACCTTTCATATTTGGTTCAGTTGTTGAGCTAATACATGGACAAACCCAGAATACCACACCTCCATGCAGCGTACAAAGTGTTGAAGTATATTAAGAGGGCACAGAGACAAGGATTATTCTATCCTACTACTTCTGATGTGTAGTTAAAAGGGTATTCAGATTCAGATTGGGCTACCTGTCCAGAAACTAAGAGGTCTGTGATAGGCTACTGCATGTTCATTGGTTCATCACTTGTATCACGAAAATTGAAGAAGCAAAATATGGTCTCAAGGTCCTCTTCAGAGGTAGAGTATAGGGCAATGACATAGGTGTGATGTGAAGTAACATGGATGAAGTACTTATTGGAAGACTTGCAGATTGAACATAATCAGCCAGCAAAATTGTATTGTGACAACAAGTCAGCTATATACATTGATACAAATCCCATCTTTCACGAAAGAACAAAGCATATAGAAATTGATTGTCACCTAGTGAGAGATAAAATTCAAAGTGGAAGTATAACTACATAATATGTTCATACTGGATCACAACTAGCTGAAATGTTAACAAAGGCCTTAAATTCTTCAAGCCTTTACTCGCATATGATCAAGATGGGAGTGATCGATATCTACTCTCCATCTTGCGGGGGGTGTTGAATGATGATAAAGAAGCTGACCAGTTGGCAAGTGAGGTGTTATCACTATCAGAGTAGCAACAAGGAGCAATGGAGGTCCAGTATGCAAGGAATAATCTAGAAGAGAGAAGGATTTAGAAGGCTTCCACTACATAGAGTTATTATTTAGTAACCATATTTGATTCCTTGTATTTATTCCCTTTTTGCATAACGTTTGTAAGTATATAAGTACCTGTATATTCATTCAACCAATTGTGAAAATATAATTCAATTGTTCAGTTTTTCCTTCTTTATCTCCATTTTATTTTGTTATACTAAGGTCTTTCCTAGTTAGAGGTTTAACAAAGGAGGAGCTTTCCTTTGCTTCAACATCTCATTCCCAGACTTCAACCGATCCACAGCCATATCTCCACAACACAGTATTTCCTTAACCAAATGGCCTGACCCTACCGTTATCAGCCTTGCTGCCATCCCACTGTACTCCTCTACACTAGGAGCCAGCGTCGTCCAGTGAGCTACACACTGTCCCTCTACTGCCTCCATCTTCTTCTTGTTAGTATTCAACTCCCCTGCTATAAGCTCCCTTGCCACTGCCCCTGCCTCTGCCATCACCTCTTTCTCCTCCACCTTTCGAACTAAAAAGTTACTGAAAGTCTCCAAAATCCTATCCAACTCCTTCAACAATCCCTCATGTCCTTTAGATACTATTGTCAACCCATAATTTAACACTTCATTTTCTGACCTTTTCCTTTTTATTTTTCTTTTTCTCTTTTTCATCATCATCATTGGAGTCAGAATCCTCATTTTCTTTTGGGGGTTGGAAGGAGAAGAAGTAATGGGATCGGTCAAGCTTAACAGTAGCAAGGTCTTTCGTCAAAGACCATTGGGTCTCATCTGCTACATGCGCAAGGGCAGCGATGGTGTTATCATCCTGGCAAAGGATGATGATTTGGAGTTCACTGGAGGCGAGCTCGATGAGTAATGCTGGTCGATCAAATGGAAGATTGCATCGGGAATTGTGAGGTAAACCTCTTCAATGGATTCCAGAGGGGCAGTTGGGGAAGGTGGGTTAGTTTCGAAGCTGTGGGGGAGGAGGTTTTCAACAAGGTCAATGGTGGGGTAGAGGAGTGTAGATGAGGGATATGGAGGATCAATTGTTTGGTAATTTGAGTTGATGATACTGGGGTTTGAGTGGGAAATGGATTTTGAGACGCCATTGTTGGATCAGAAAGAAGTTACTTAGGGACACAATTGACGATGAACAAAGAGATGACATATTTCATGGATTCAAGGAATAGTGTACTGGTCGGATATATAAATATGATTTATTTTATTAATTAAAGAAAAAATTGCATAAAATATTCGATTTTTTTTTTTGGTGGAAGGAGGGCGGTACCTCCGAAATTTTATTAATATGCCCTCACTTGTGGCGGACGAATACCGTGGTTACAAATGATATCAATGAAATCAATAAATAAGGAAGTACTACTTCCCTAATAGTGAAAGTAAAGAATAAAAGGAAAGCAGTAAAAAATGAGTACTACTTCCCTTACAAAAAGAACAAGTTAAAGCAAAACTAAAAGTAAAAGCAAAATAGAAATACCTAAACTCTAGTGCTGGGCAAACCATACCTGTCAATCTGAACAAGCGGCCTGATATGTCGTGGTAGGTCGGCTAGTCCATATTCCTGGTATCTACGATGATGCCAACACTCGGTAGCAAGTGCATCTGCAACTTGGTTCCTTTCTCTGAAGATGTGGGAGACCATATCCCTGTCAAATGAAACGATATCTGCAATCTGTCTGAGTATCCCTTGGATAGGCCACGGTTCGCCACCTCTGGTGATGCAGTAAATGGAAACAGTCAAATCTGTCTCAACCCAAATATCTGACAAACCAAGGTCTCTAGCCAATAGTATCCCATCACGAATAGCCCTGAGTTCCACCTCTATTATCATACATTGTCCATATGAAGTTGAGAAAGCCCTGATACAATTTTTTGCGTAGTCCCTGATGATGCCTCCCCCCTTGCAAACCTATCCTTGACATGACCATCGGTGTTGATCTTGACAGACCTGAATGATGGAGAACACCACCATACCATGATAGGGGAGGAGATGGGGGGAGAGTCAAATAAATACCAAAAAGTATAGCAAGCTGCATGTCATTATGCCAATGTAATGGTCAGAATAGTCCACCAATATTGAGGAAGGATACCATACGGTAAACTCTCCAGATAATATGTCTCGAGCTCATATGTATGTTCATGTACTTTGTATTATTCCTCTCAATTCAAAGAAACCAGAAAATCAATAGAAGAATAATGATGCGAATGTGTCCGGTCCTTACAAACTATACAGAATACCTCCATTTCAAAAATCTCTATCTGGCACTCTCTCCTGTACTCATGGTAATCTGAAATAAAGCCCCAAAATGTTGCTAAACATGATCTGAAATACTGCTACAGTAAAAATATGAGTGATGGTCTCAATCTCAGAACAACACTGACATTGAGAAGCCAAACAACTGTCGATCCTCCTTTGGATTATGACATCAACTTGTATTAAATCCTGCTAGTCTCCAACAGAAGAACGAAACGGTAATAGGTATGATAGGGCTCCACAATAGGCAAAATGAATCCTGAATTGGCCTGCTAGAGCGGATCAGCTGCTATGCTGATTTAGTATTAAATCTACCATCTGATATGGCCCTCCAGAAAATACGATCCGAGACATCAAGACATAGTGGAATGGTCGAGATCTGCTCTGTCATATTTGATGGAAGAGCCTGAAGTAATCGCCCAAAATGCCATCCAGTCTTCTCGAAAAAGTTCTACACCCTCTCAGATATATGCTGTTTGTGTGGAAAAATGGATGTCAATGTAGAATTACCCATCCAAAAATCATGCCAAAATAAGATCTGCCCTATCCCAATGCACCACGCAATGTGTGTTTCGGCGCATGGTTCAAATTTCTTCAGTCTCTTCCAAATAAGAGAGGCTGAGTGAGGAACTGCTGCAAGCGAAGGATGTGTCCCTCTACAGTATTTACCTAGTAGAACCCGAGCTCAAAAAGAACTCTGAGACCTGAACAACTACCATAACTTCAATGAAAATGTATCCACTGTATCCTGTAATTGTCTAAAGCCCAAACCTTCCTCGTCAACAGGAAGGCAAATTGCCTTCCAACTACGCCAATGTAAACGATGCGCATGATCTTTAAAATCCCATAAGAATCATGTAAATATACTCTTTACCCTTTTCAGAATGACCTTAAGAGGTCGCATAATCTGGAATAGATACAGTGGTGTAGAGAAAGGAACAGACCTCGATAGAGTAATCCTACCACCAGGAGAGAGAAGGCGTGAAGCCCATCCAGAAATCCCTTCATAATGAGATCGTCATACAGAATGCTCTTCTTAGCCCCTTTAAACATAGGGACTCCCAAATATGTGAACGATTGTATTTGATGTGAAAATCCAGTCAAATTTATTAACCTTCGTATCTGAATATCAGATGCTCTCCTAGGCAATATAAGACCACTCTTGTCTCTATTCACCAATTGGCCAGAGACCCCCTCGTAGTGCTCCAAACAATCGATGACCCTTCTGATAGACTTCTTCTATCCATTGGTAAATATAATCATATCATCAACAAAAGTAAGATGAGAGACAAGAGTACTACCTCCTTATCGATACTACATACTAGGATATGTCTGAAACCTTTGAATAAGTAATCGAGAAAAGTAATTCGCAGTAATAATAAATAAGGATGGAAAGATAGGATCTCCCTATCTGAGTCCTCGCGATGAAGAAAAGAAACCACATGGTCGTCCATTTAGAAGTACTGAGAATTGACACTCCGATATACAACGTCTGATCCGATCAATCCACAACTGGTCAAAACCAACACCTCGAGTATAGAATAAATGAATCCCCAATCCATACGATCATATGTTTTAGCCATGTCAAGTTTCAGCATAATACAAGGCAAAAATGAACTCAATATGTTGTTCAATAGCTTTGTGATAAGCTTATTGAACACCGTACATGGGCTGATAGGTCGGTAATCCATCCATCTGCAAGCATTCTCCTTCTTCGAAAGCAAAATAATAGACGTAGCAGCAAATCCTCTAGGTAAATGACCACCATAAAAGAAATTAATGATTGTATTGTATACATCATCCTGTATAATATCCCAATAGTGTTGGTAGAACAATGATGAAAATCCATCAGGGCTCGCAGTACTATCAGCATCAATACTGAACATAGCCTCCCGCACCTCATCAATTAAAGGGAGACGGTTCAGCACATATTATCTACCTCCGTCAATATCCTATGTATGACATCAGGACGAATATACTCTAGAGGCTGTGAAGAAGCTGATAATAATTNAAAATAGCCTCATGTAGCTCATCAATCAAAGGGAGGCGGTTCAGCGCCATATTGTCTGCTTTCGTTAGTATCCTAGGTATGATATCAGGACGAATATACTACAGAGGCTGTGAAGGAGCTGATAATAATTCCTGGAAAAAATAGATTGTCGAGCTCTGAATATCCGCTGGAATAGTAAGAACTTTCCCTGCCTGAGTCGTAATGGTCCTGATGCGAGATTTGATTCTCCGTCCCTGTACCAGCGAATGAAAATATCTGGTTATGCGATCTCCCTCACATACCCAATAACAGCCGGCCTTTTGCTTCCAAAAACTTTCCTCAATAGCTAAGGTCCGGTTCAAATTAGCCTGTGCATGATAAGTAAGTCACGGTGCTACGGTGTAAGATCAACCTCAAAATCAATCTCTGCCTGGTCAACCCTCTCCTAGCATCTCTAACTCTTTAGAACACATCACCAAATACCCATCAATTCCACCACCTTAGTCCCCATTTCAGCTTAAAGAACTTCTCCCAGAGGGCAGCCGTTCCTGTAAGATAAGTAGGGAGTGACCACTTTTGAGAAATGAAAGTTGAGAAGTCATGATGTTTGGTCCAAAATTTGAGGAATCTAAATGGTCTAGGACCTTAATCATCATCACAAATCTACTGTAAAAGTATAGGTGAGTGATAGATAAAGTACGATTCAAATGAGTCACGATAAGCAGTCTACAAAAGTCTACAGCTAAAGAGTTAATCAAAACTCTACCCAATCGATTACTAACCCTGCCATTCGTCCAGGTAAACTAAGACCCAAAAAAGACAACGTCCTCTAAGCCACAGTCCAACATCATATCAGAAAAATCAGTAGAACCACGATCTTAACGACTATGACCAATACGCTCACCATCATGTGTGATGACATTAAAGTCACCCCCAACAAGACAATGATCATCCATAAAGAGAGAAATGTGGTGAAGACCCGCCCATATGATGGCACTCATAGGGACGTGGAATGCGATGAGGTATCTCTCACATTCCATATGATGGCATTCCTAGTGACCTTCCTGCTCGGGAATGGGATGTTAGTAGCTCGTGGATGTCTCTTCCGTACAACAAGGACAATTCCTTCATCCTTTGTCCTCTCACTCAAACCAACCAAATCATCACAATAAGATCTACGGAAGGGGCCTAGCTGGTGAACCTCAATTTGAGATGAACCCTCTGTATCTGACTGAGCCAACTGCAAAGAAGGAATAGATGCCTCCACATTCTGATGACAAATGGGAGGAGGAGAAGTAGTAATGGGTGCCCGAACCCTACATGGTGTTGGGCTTAGAATATGAGTAGCCTTGGTGACTGTATCCGATGGATAATCAAATATATGTGGCCTCTGCAATATCTCATCCAACATCAGAT